TGATCATTTACATAAGTAAGCATATTTTTTTAGTTGTATACTAGTCATTTGTAATATTTTCCACGTCGCAAGCTAAATACTCTAACGACACATTGTCTAGGATAAAGTAATTTATGAAATTAATGAAATATTATGTATATTTATTCGCCTATTACTATTACTTTGATGTAATTTAATAATTATCATGTTAAGGCAATGCAAAATTTGAGTTTTTTACATGGTGGCTACCAATTACAAATAATATAGATCGAAAGTCCATAAACTTCTGAAGTGAAGTGTGCACACATACAGTGATCGACTGTCGCTGTATGTGTACAAGACAGCTGCGGGCTCTAGAGCGCTCTCTCTCTCTCTCTGGCTCTTGAACAAAAATTCGAGAGCCTGGAGCCAGCACAAAAAAATCGTATGGCGTTACGCATCTTATTATTCTAGCGTCTTTTGCCTAGTGCAAGTGCGAACGGGAAATTTCATGGGTGCAAACTCAACTGAAAAGAAACTGTGATATTCAATCCACTTTCAAAAGAATTCATAAGCGAAACCAAACTGTAAGCCAAAAAGAAAGATTACTTCCAGTCACCAAATACTTACCCCCTCAAAAATCACAGAGTATTTTAATGAAAACTATTTTTATGCCAAGAAATGCGAGATACCAAAACCTTAATGAAATGCGAAGCTCACCGCATACCAGTTGCATCAAATAATTCCTGTAGAAATTGCACCACAATGCACAAATTGCAAGCAGTATGTACATACTAGGTTTTTCTGTATCGTAAGCCCTGTCTACTTAGGTTGTGGGGACTCTCACAATTCTAAGCTTTAACCAGATAACAAACAAGATAGTCGAATATATAGTCGAATTCCCGGACTATCAGTAACCCGTTACTCAGCTAGTGGAAGTGCGAACGAGAAATTTCATAATTTTCTTGATCATCGCTGGAAATTCGTAAAAAAAAAAAAAGTAATGAAAAAAATTTAAAATTTTTTCAGAAGTGTGGGCGTGGGAAAACGATTAGGTGGCAAATCGATAAAAATTTACAAGACTAATAAAAAACTGAAAAAATATCAAAACATTTTCAAAAGTATGGGCGTGGCATTTTGTGGCGGTAGAGTGGGCAAAAAGTGTTTTGGCAAGTCAATACAAATTTATAACACTAATAAAAAAATTTTAAAATATCGAACAATTTTTCAAAAGTGGCAAAATTCGGCAAATCGATATAAATTTACAAGGCTAATAAAAAAATTAAAAATATATCACAATATATTTCAAAAGTGTGGGCGTGGAAGTTTTACGCGGTTTGTAGGAGTTAGAGTGGGAACATTTGGAAACAAACTTGAGCTGCGACTATGTCTCTGGAAGCTGCACGCTTAATCTCAACATCCTAGCTTTTGTAGTTCCTGAGATCTAAGCGATAATATGGACAGACGGACATGTCCAGTTCGACTCGGCTTATTGATCGTGATCAAGAATATACATACTTTATATACATACTGGTTCCGTAATGATTCCTTCTGCCTGTTACATACTTTTAATGAATCTAACGGTTTTATACCATATAATTAAAATACCATATAATATAATACCATATAATTAAAAAGTGTGAAAACTGTGGTACAGTACTCAAACAATTTTTTACTTCAGTTTACAAACGGCATGGGAAACTTTCATTACAAAAGCTTCCAGATGGATCATCAATAGGACTTTCTCGTGACATCAACGGCATATCCTAAGCAAGCGCTCTGAAAATTGGAAAACTTACCCAGAGACGATAACTAAAAACCTTTAGCAGGCAATCAGATAGCCCCATATTAAAATTATGATTTATAAAAGCCGACTATTCAAAACAAAATGCAAAATTCTAATATATTGAGCAGCAGTCAAAAAAAAAAAAAAATTGTCTCGTGTAAGAAGATGCTTACGTGTTTTTATGCGCCTAACGCCATAAGCCTGAAATAGGTCATGTTGCTGGTTGAAAAGCACCTCACCGGCAAATGTAATTCATATACTATGTAATGTAATTGTAATGTAATTTCAATACGGTGCAACACGTTCTACAGAAGCGACAGTACAGCAGAACAGGTATTATAATAAGAGATAATAAGAGCACCAAACTCCACTACTACCAGAAAATTTAACTCCTTTTCTGCAAGATACATATGTACGTATGTAGATAGTTTTATAGTTTATTTACAATTATAGGAGTATGTATGTAATAATATCAATAGATGGTTGAGGTTCTCAGTACAGTGAATGGTACTACTCTCGACTACGGCTTTCTACAACTCTCGACTGCGGTTTTTCTACTTTAATTCTGCAGAACTTCTTCGCACGTTCCTATTCTCCGCTGACTCTGGGTCGACTTCCCACTGCCAACTCGTTTAACTTTGACCACATCGTATGGGCCAAGAAGAGTATTAGCCAGTGTCCTACCGTTGCCGATCTCCGTCGCTACAAGTGTTTTCCTTCTTTTTCTTTATGTCAAAATTGTGTTTGTAGACATTCTGATATTTTCGTATTGCACTCTAACATTTCGTGTTTTTTTTTTAACTCCTTCTTCCTTCAACACCTGTTCCACGACCGTAGTTAGCTTGTCTGTAATTTTAGTCAGCATCTTAAACAAACATCAGTTTGAAGGTAAAAAAAAGTTTACAAAAATATTGAAACAGTTAAAGAAAAAACATTGAATTATATCCGGAAATAAACCAGAGTGCCATATTCATTCTTCATTTGAAAAATCTTAAACCTTCTTTTTTAAACCGTATTAATTATTATTATTAATTTCTTTTTTTTTTTTTTTGAGTTTCTGTGTGAGGGGTTTTTTGCTCGAGACTTGACTTTAAATAGTCAAGCTCTTGGGCTTTTGCCCACGCTGGAGGTGGAATGTTTGTGAAAAATAGCCACTTTATAAGCGATATTCTTTTTTTATTTTTTTATTCACTCCTCCGTGATGTGTAAGCTCGCACAATACTCACTCAAACTTTTATCCGTGTTATTTCTCCAGTTCAGTCTCATTCATTTTCTTATATTTTTATATCCGTCACTCGTAGCGTAAAAGGGTATACTAGATTCGTTAAAAAGTATGTAACAGGCAGAAGGAAGCCTTTCCGACCATATAAAGTATAGTCTTGATCAGGATCAATAGCATAGTTGAACTAGCCATGTCAGACTGTCCGTCCGTGTGTCTGTACAGAAATTTCTCGTTCGCACTTCCACTAGCTGAGTAACGTGTATCTGATAGTCGGGCAACTCCTGTTGCAGTTTTTTTTTTCTCTATTGGTGTTCCATCAACTTGGTCAGTATACTGCTGGTAAGATCGCAGGTATTGATGTGACGGTCGCCATCTGAAAAGTTAACCGTTCGTGGTAATAAGCTATACAGGGTGCGTTATGAAAATAATGCGCATGGTTTCATTGTCACGTAACTACCTGTCGTAGCACGCTCGGACCTGTCTGAAAATTTGGGGCGGAGTCTCTCCTTTCCAACGCGCTCGGTCTCAGTTCGCTCTGAGCAATAGAAGTGGTAGGACGTGTCGTAGAGCGAAGTCATTTTTTCTGTTGTGTCACGGTGCGATGGAACGTTCGCTGGAACAGCGGTACGCCATAAAGCGGTACGCCAAAAATGCCACTCGGAGCTCTGTCGTTTGGATTCTGGATCGTACTCGAACATCCAGGATTCATCCCCAGTTACAGTAAAATTTAAAAAACCTGGATCATTTTTGCCATGATACAGTTTACTTTTACCGCTTTATTTCTGTTTCCCTTTGACTTTTTTAAGAGGACTTTTTCGTTTGCTCCATGTTACATTACTTTGCATTGTTTCATATTTCTTTATTACAAACTTTGATAAAATGTAGCATAAGGAGCTCACGTTGGAAGAAAGAAAATCCTATGCCGAAATCGCTAAAATTATGTCCAGAAGCCGATTAACTATTCAACATGTAATAGGACGTTTAAAAAACGAGCGTCGGGCTGTCAACCTTAAAAGAAAAGGCCGTCCGTCGAAATTAAACCAATGCGACTATTACTATTACTATTACTATTAGCCGTATAGTTGATAAATTTCCGTTCTAAAATGCTATTAAAATAAGTGAAGTCATAAGTAGCACTTTTAATAAGGAAACAGAACAGTCCGTAGGAGTTAAAACAATTCGGATTGAAGGGACTATGGACGACAAAATGTACGAGTACATTGACATCCTGAAGAGATCTCTGAAGCAATGCGCAGATCGTCTTGGAATTGGGTAGTCATTTTACTTTTATTTACTTTACTTTTTACTTTTACTTTTTTTTTAAAACCAAATTAAAATGTTTTTTTTCTTTTTTGGTAATAATGATTAGCTAAATAAGTCCAACAAGATCACGTCAATAATTTTTTTTTTCTAGGTTAATAAATAAACAAGATTTAACTTTAAATCAGCTGGTGTAACAAGACTTAAGTGGCACATATTGTTTAGAATGTCGGACTTTCTCAGTGTTCTAAGTGTTCTTCTCAGTGTTCTTCTTCTAAGGAAGGGAAGTTCTATAGGCCCGCATAGTGTTTCGATCAGCACTTGGCCGGCGTTAGAACGCTGACTATGGATTTATGCTTGTGTCTTCCAAGTCGGTTCTCGTATTACACTTGCACTTGGCTCTTTACGTGGACATTGCAGTATTGACATATTGAAACAGTGGGATCCTTTATGTGTGCCTGCCAGAACACGCAAATTATTTTTTAAACACACAAGACAACAACTCTGGCTGTTAACGACTTAATAATAATAAAGACAACAGAATTTGCAGCTGATAATAATCTGACTGAATTTTAATTAATTTTCCTATATATGTACATTAGTAAACAGAAAAAATAGATGTTACAGAAGTTTTACGACTTTACAATCCCCTAAAACTGTTGTCAGCAACTTTGCAAAAATCATAAAACTTGCTTTTTGATAATACCTTGTGTGAACAGTTTTTCACATCTAGTTCAAATTCCAACTGGTTCACAAAGATGTACTCGATGGGACTAGGCTATAAGGTAAACCATATAATAATCTTTTTTGTCGGTCTGGCCCTATTAAAACGCATTCATTAAATATATTCTGATTGCATCATAACAGTCTTAAAGGTTATAACTATTTTTAAAAAAATATTAATTTGTAATATTTTATTTAGTGCCCATAGTCTTACCGGTTTTGTTTTATTATAGCGTTAATAATGGCTTTTAGAAACTGGTTTTCGATTCCTGTCGTTAGAGCTGACGACGAAGAGGACTTGGTTGACCCTCAAGGCGTATTAAGGGTAAGTAAAAACGATTTCCTTACATCACTAAATATAACACGTAACTGATTTTTATGCAACAGGAAAAATGCCAAGCTAAAGGTCACATAGAATCGTTGTACAATAAGTACCAAGAGTGTAATGATCGTGTGAATGGGCGATCCAAAACAACTGAGACGTGCATCGAGGAACTATTTGACTATGTTGCTGAGTTAGATCATTGCGTTTCGCACAGTCTTTTCTCAAAACTAAAGTAAATAGCATTAAAGCCAATTCAATTAATGGAAAGTGCAGTGCTTAATAATAAGAACATAAATAAAAAATTTTCTTGATCGGGCTTTCTACAAGTTTTGTGGCATTTCATACATTACAATTTGATATCAAAAGCTATTTGAAGTGAAATTTGGTAGGTATTCCTAGGTATCCTAATCTTTGTTTGGATGATATATTTGTTCTATTCTGGTACCTTAAACTGTCAATTACGCACTGCCCATGATAAGACTAAAATATGTCTCTTGGGGTTTAAAAGCCACTAGAATAGCTTCCTCTGTTCAGACATTAAAATGTAACTTGGGCTACATAATTGTTTCCATCGAGTGATTAATGGTGATTAAGTTTAGTTTATTTTTCAGTCTCGCCAGTAAAAAAAGGATTAATAAAGGAACATATTTGCAATCTCCCTTTCACTAAATGATGAGCCTATTGTTTTTTTACTCCAACTAATTTGACGTAAATTTCTTTATTTACTTACAAGGACAGGGACGAATGCAGAACACAATAAATAAATGAGAAAAAAGACAGAACGTTATAGTCGGCATCCTCGACAGTCAGATACCCGTTACTCAGCTAGTGGAAGGGTGAAGTAGAAACTTAAACCATTTTTGGGGCGTATCGATAGAGATTGTCAAGAAAACTAATAGAATATGAATACAAATTTAAAACATTTTTGAAAATTACAGCTTTTGGGTTAGAGTGGTCGTGACCAAAATATTACGCCAACAAACCGCTAAAAACTTCCCCGCCCTCACTTTTGAAGAAAAGACCGTTAACCAATGATGTGCGGCAGAGCCCAATGGAAGTTTACTGCAACAAACAATAATCTGTGAATAATTTTTCTGTCATTAAGTGATCGATATTTTGAAACTTGAAAAGCACCCAGCTTCGCTTAATCGACCCAACCAAAAAAATATAGACCTTACAGACTCAGCCCTGAATACAGAGAAATAGTGCGAATGCACATGAGCGAACTGATCAGAGTTATATTGTTGCCCAAGCCTTTGCTCGTCAAAAAAAGAAAAAAACGGAACAGACCGTCTTTTCATTAATATTAGAGAGTTAAACGCGATTTATTTTATTTTGGTAGTTATGGCGATTCACTCTGAATCCGTATAACACGGCAAAATTTGTCATATGACTTCTCAGTGAACGGTCGTGTTTTTTTCTGTTCTGTGAAATTATATTCTTTCTTATTATTTTTGTAAATATAATATATAGTATATAATAAATAAAACTCCGTTCGCTTCGCAATTACATTTTTCTGACTACTGCCTAATTTTAAACATTTATTAAACATTATGTGTTTCTTTTTTCGTTATTTTGTTTATCTTCCTTATGCGTTGTCCGTAGTGCTGTTTTCTATTGCTTTTGTAAAAACGTTACACAAAATCCAACATTTTAAGCGGGCAGACTGCGCTCTTGCGGTACATTTAACTGCTCGCCTGCAAGTTATGATTTTGTTTCTGTATACTGTGGACCGAAGTAAACAAATTATGAAAACACATGTACATGACGTCTGCTTCGAAAACAAATGCCGTCAGGTAATAAAGCCTGATCAGCAACAAATGACTTGTTGGCTGGCCCCTATCCGTTCGTCTGTCTGACCGTTTGATCGCTGTGATCTCGCTGTCAAGTTGAGATTGAGCATGCAGATTCTAGAGACGGCTATGCTGTGCAAGTTTTAGATCGTTTCATTGTATCGAAAAAAAAGCGCAAAACTATTTTTAAATAGCATATTTTTAATTTTTTGCACTTATTTTATTAGTCTGGTAAATTTCTATCGATTCGGCAAAAAGTCTTTGCCACACCTACTTTAAAGCGCACAAGCCTCCGAAAACTGTCATGACCACACTTGTTAGTTTTACTATTTTTTTTTTTATCAATTTCTATCGGTATACCAAAACATTGTGACCACGCCTCTTTAAACGCCCACAAACCCCCAAAAACAGTCACGCCCACAATTTAAAATTTTTTTAAATGATTTTTTTTCCCATTGAAATTCACATTCAAATTTGTGAAATTTCTCGTTCGCATTCTATACAAAACTAGCTGACCCGACGAATTTCGGGCCGACTCCGCCTTTGAAGTGAGCAGATTTTTTATTGCACTGAAATGAACAGACATGTAAAGATTTATTTATTAAGTAATTAATGATAGATTACGAAAATTTTCTCATCCTTGAAATTTTGAGTCAGCCTTTCTTGAGTTATTAATTGTGTACTGCCACGACTTTCTTTTATTATTACGTATTAATTCTTAATTTGTTTTTTTGAAAAGAGTGAAATGGTAATTAATTTAATTTTTGTTAAACATTTATTGTTGAGGTTTTTAAGAAAAAAGTTCTAATGCAAAACGTTTTTATGGAAACAACTTTCAGAAACAGCAACGCCAAAACTATTGAAAATGCTATAAATTTCATTATAATATTATATGATTTGGTTTGCCATTTTCTTGTATGTCAAAACATTTAGGCCACTTTTACACACACAAATTACAATGAACCACACAAGGCTGAGATAGTGAGCAAGGTTCCAGTTGATTTCGGTTGAAACTTAGTGATTAATTGTCCTCACCTTGTGCTTGCTCTTACAAGCTGCAGGCAATTAAAATTTGTCACATTTCAATTCGTCCGCATTTCTCAAATTTAATAGCCATTTTCTTCGTTCGAATTCACTCTGTTTCTAGCTCTTAGAAAGTTAGGATTTAAAGATGTATATAAAAATTAATTTAAAGTTTAATTTTAAGAAATATAAATTTTAATTTAGTTTAAATTTATATTAAAGATTATATTACTATATTATATTATTTAAATTTATATTACATTGAGACCAAGCGAGTTACACACGAGGTTCTTCATTCAACTTTTTGCGTTGGAGTAAAAGAATACCAGAAGATAAGGATCATTCTAGTTGTTTATGGGGAATAATATGGGAATAGGGGTATAATTAGTAAGACCGCACAATTAGGTTATATTTATGTATATGTATGATTTGTTTTATTCGAAGATGCAGACTGCCTAAGGGAAAGCTTGGCTTTAAAATATAAACCTATAAGCTTACAAAGTAGTTTAGCTGAATAGATAACGTGAAAGCTTCAGCGAGAGAGAAAAGGAAAAAGATACTCCAAGAGCGCTACAGGTACAGTGGTACACCTATGCGCATATGAACAGGCGCTGGCGCAACTATATCGGAATCGATGGGCAGGAAGACGCCTCTCTTGATTAGACTGTATCAATGTATGACTACGTATGTATACGTATATGTATATGTACGAATGATTTCTTCGATGCGCCCAAGCTGCTATCTCAACAGTGAAATGCAACTTTGATGCCAATTACTCGCAAAGATGAGTAATGTCAGGGTCAGGAAATTTTGTGTAGCTGAAACCCTTTAGGAAATGCGCTGGCGTTAGCACCTCAAGGCTTTCAGCATTTTCTGTAATTGGACAGAGTGGATGGGAGTTAAGGATGACAGAAATCTCATACGCGAAATTTAGCCGACTTAACAGCAGCCTCCCACCGAATTGCAGGGCATGCGGAAGCTATCGATGCACTGTGCGGTTCGCTCAAAAATAACTGTCGCAGTTCGGCAAGCTCGCGCATTTCAAAGAACGCCTTATGATAGAATGGCCCACAATAGTGCATTCCTGTAGTATGAAATGCTGAATTAGGCTGCACTCGATTTGCTGACAGGCTTCCCATTACGTGCTCCCAAGTCACAGGCTTCATTTTAAAACATCGGACGCATTTATTGATGACACTACCAACGAACTCCAATCGCATATGTATATTTGGCTCTGCAATTTGAAATGTAACGATGAAAGTATGAAAATACCCGTCATCTCCCCAATTTTAGTGATTCTGTTTAATACGAATACGTATTAAAACTCCCTTGGAGGTTGACGAATCCACGCCATCACAATAGAGGAGTCTGACCAGCAATGAAAGGCGCATTCGAAATCTTTGGATTCCTTGACGCTTAGAATTAGTTCAGTCATTAGTTCAGAATCCATCCAACTCAACGGAAGCTCAAGGCTGCATTACGAATCGTGGAAATTTTTAGTTCTGTACGACCGATAACTGTGAGGTCAACTCCCCCAATGACGAAAGAATTGGCTCTGGCAATGCGTCATCCCAATCTACGATACCCTTACATAGAGATTGCAGAAAGATTTTGTGTCAATTGGGGTTCTTAGACCAAGTGTATCATAGAATATGGCTATTGTTGACAATGCAATCCTCTTGGTAGGTCGGTGATTGGACCGTGTTTGAAAAAAATTAAATAGAAGTTGATATCCGATCCATCGTAAAATTTGATTAACTGCACCTTGTCGCAGTCAGACTCTCCTTCCAGGGCTGCTGTGTTGGTTTGCCATAGCGCACCGGCTCGGGGCCTTTCCAGTCGATGATTAATTATATCCGAAAAGGAATCCTTGTTGGGCACTCTCCAGTTAGTTGTGTTTTCGGTTGTGAGTCTCGTTTCCTTTATGTCGCAATAGCTGGTTTTATTTTGCATTAGGTGTCCCAGGCAAGTGTTATTTCTAAGGTTATTGATGGAATCGAATTCGCAGATGAATTGTTCTGCTATTACAGGGCATTCATGCAAAGTCGAAAACATACTATTACTTATGTTATTGTATATCAATTACTTAGGTGCTATTACAAATTGTGTGAAATTTATTGGAAGTGGAATTAATCTTGCTATTTCGTAATTAGAATTTAGACAAATAGGAATTTCGATATTGAAAATTATTTTGTCTTGGTAATTGAGTGTGTTCATTTTTAAGAGATTATAAATATGTTGTTCGGATTTTATTGTGTAGTTTTCGGTTTTAAAAATTTGTTTGATTTTGGTTATTTCTGTCTTATCTAAAATGAGTTTTGGAATAACATTAATTTTGGCAAGTAGTGTACTTTCTATAATGTCAGTTAGATGACCAAGTAATCTATATTATAGTTATATAGTTATCTATATTATATTATAGTTAAGTCTATTTATATATTGTAGTTTCTTTATTTTTTCTTCATTGTTATATATTTTTTTTGTAGATTGTGTTTTGAATGTTTTCGAAG